ACAGCGTCAGATGAATCTTCCATTAAAGCTAATCGGCAGCTGGTCGAGAGGAATCGGCCGTCGTCTTCTGGTGGACCCGACCTTCGAATCTTTTCACCCAACACTTCTACTCAAAACGGAAGTAAGCTCAACAATAATGCCGACAAGACTCTGGATTCTGAAAAGGTGGGCAACAAGTTTCGCCCCACCTTGCTGCTCATGAACCGGCCCACGATTCGTAAAATTCAAGAATAACCATATTTCGAAGGATTTCTTCAAGGTTTCACACGAACAACGGCCTGCAAGACACCATCCAAATGTTGGCAGAATAGCAAATTCTTATGGCGTGAGATACACAATTGTCCACTCAATTGCAATGAGGGGTCCACCTCCTCGAGACGGTCCGTGCAAATCCAGTCCAACCCTTCAAATCGGGTACTTCTCCGGACAGCAAACCATCTCACTCCGTCGGATCGTGGGCGCAAAACAACACGGAGCCAGGATCCATGCTTCTTTTGGGTCCAATTTTTGGACGCCCCCACTCTTCCTAGTCCCACTCCCATTTCGTTTATCGCCCTGATTCAGTGACTTGTGCTCATTTCGGAAACGCCGGCCTGTAGACGGATCGTATTCTGCCGGTAGAACGATCAGAAGTGTTCTGTGCAGCCTCACGTCCTGCTGCTCTGACCTTCCAGGAGAGTTGAATAGAAAAAAACCCCTTCCCCAGTCCCGAAAGACACCGTTTTCAGGCGGAAACCTGCCAACTTGAACAAGTTGTTAAGCTTAGTCGAGCGTAAAGCTTACACATCAGCTTGGAGAATGCGAGGCAGGCGGATACATAAAACTTCACAATCAAGTTTGTGTCAACTCGACAAAAGTCGTAAAAGTGAGACCGTCAATTTATTTCCTCACTTGTGCCGGTTCTGGACGAATTGAGTTGAGTTGAGCAACTCAACTTCTCAACTTTGCCACTCAGTCCTCCAAGGAATAGGTGAATGGAAAGGGAGTGACGGGAGACCTGCGGCTGTTACTAAGTGATCCCACATACTTGCCCTGATCATCTGCTGACTTCATTAAAGCATAGTTTCCGTTTATTTTTCGTTTATAAACACAGTTTTCAAATTGCCAGTAAATCACTTCTATGAGATGTAGTAATCTCGAGGCCCTACTTATGCACGAAAGATAAATAGTGTGGTCGAGTGTCATAGCAAATATAACTTTGCTTCATCGAAAATCCCACTAAAGTATATGATGTGTGAAAATGCCTGGCCTTCCTTGAAATGCACGCCTGCCCCATGACCCGGGAGCAATCGTGGCAATGTGTCGAGCTTATATGCTGCATTGTCATGGTTCGAGTCCCGCTGGGGGCGTTGCTAAGACCTAGGGAAAGCAAAGCTATGTGAAATTCATATTGTGGGAAAATTCAACTACCAGTCCTTCATCACCTTAAAACGAAGAAGGCGGAATGCATATCATTTAGTTGACATGCAGAAAAAAGCCATTCACGCCAAAAGGAGTAAAAGTATGATAAGAATCTCTTAAAAATGAATAAATTTGGATAATCAGCCTCGACAGACCAAACAAAAAGTAGCCCAAAGTGAAAGTGACTGTGGCCGTTTTGACAGACCAAGTCAAGATCATGTCGGGCTTAGTTCCATTTCGAGTGAAAGAGATTCGAATCTCGGTTCCACCAGAAGACAACGGCCGATTCCTCTTGACCAGCTGTCGATTGGCTTCACTGGAACATTCATGCTGACGCTGTCTCCGAGGTGTAATCCCATTCGATTCCGGTGAAAAGGTGCTAAGCTTTCGTGCGTTATATGAAGAACATGACTCGTTAGCTTGAATTTTGTTGTGACGATGATACCTCGCTCTGATGATGTTCGTCACAGGGCGGACGAAAGCTTAGCACCTTTTCACCGGAATCGCAGGAGATCACCTCGGAAACAGCGTCCGCATGAATCTTCCAGTAAAGCCAATCGAAATGGAAGTAAGCTCGACAATTATGAAACAAGATATTCCTAGAAACGCAACTTTTATTCGCAAGATTATGTCGGCACCGGTACCAAGAGTCGTGAAACTCATATTCAGTATCACATATTGTAAAGTTATTTGACAATTTCTAACTAAAATCCAGGTCAGTAGTCGATAGAACGACAAGAATCGGTTCGGCCCAGTAGACTCAAGAACACCTTGAAAAGGAGTTTCTCGATTGAAGACCAAAGTGTGACAAGAACAGGAAGATTCTAGCCAGTTTATCGTTTGTAAGTAGTTCTTCAAAACTGCCAGTAGATCATACACATGAGATGTATTCAACCTATTACGTTCAAGACTATTTATGACTGCTAGTTGAATTTACCCATGATCATATCAGTAGACCTTTGCTTCCCAAAAAAGGTATCCTCCTTCATGCTGAAGTGGACTGCAGTCGCGATTTCACCTGAGCTGGCTTCATCACCACTCTCAGCGGGACTCGAACCCGATTCGTGATAGTGCAGCGTATACTCTCGGGTAACAGGGCAGGTGAGATTGTCAAGGTATGTCAGGCTTTTACCCATTTTACATTATGTAGTGGGATCGTAGATGACGCAACGTTATATTTACTATAGCAACCGATTGCATTACTAATTTTTCATATAAAATTAGGCTTTCGCAAATGCAACCATTAGTCTTTTATCACCTTAAACGAAATATGGTGAATACCTCTCACATGTATGATCTACTGGTGGTCTCGCAAAGCAACTTATGAAGACGAAAAATGAGCAATATTTTTAAAGGCTATGGCAACTACAACGTTGCTTCATTGAAAATCCCACCACAGTTTGTGATACAGGAACATACCTGGTCTTCTCTGAAATTTTTATTGGCCATGTTATTCAAGGTTGTTGTGATTAGCATATCAAGGCTTGGTGCTGCACTACCACCACTCGAGTTCGAGTCCCGCTGAGGGTGCTGATGGAGCCAGTTCAGACGAGGTCGAAACTACAGTCCACTTTGGCCTGAATGAGAATGCCTTTTAGGAGAGTTATTCTATGTGAAATTTAACGGAAACGTTATTGTGAATGCATCTAATCTAGATGCTCACTTCTTTGCAGATGCCTGCTGGTCAAGAAAGCACCAATTAAGAAAACTGCAGATCAAACCAAGTGGACTGAATGAAGAAGTTTCTTCTTGGTAGGTCAATCAAGTGTTTGGTACATATTTGCAGAAGAAGCTTCCAATCAGGCTGAAAATAAAAATATAAAAATATATTAAATATCAAAAATACATGAAAATAAAAATAAAAATAAAGTCAAATTAATGAGTAATTGAATAGACAAAAAGGAAGGAAGGTATTAATTCTGTGCTTTCCCACTACGAAATCACATGAGCCAAATACATGCTACTCTTTCAGGACGCACACTTAATTCCCTGCCTGTTGGAATAACTTTTCTGCCAAGGTTTGGAGGTTAAAGGGGAACTGAAGGCACAAAATGTCCATAATAATTTCACCTCTTCATCATATACCCGACGGAGACCTGGCCTGTGAAAAGTATGCGTCAACGCTCGCC